GAACGAACGAACTTGGGTTGTACCAATGAGTGGTGGCAGCACTGAGTGTGGCCAGAGTGGAGAATTTTGAGGCCCTGAGGTGGATCCAAGGCAGTCCTGAACATCTGCTCCTTTTCCAGACCCTGCCCATGTGTCCATTGGTGCCGTTGCAGGTAGCTGTGGTGAAACCAGGGGACATGGAGGCTGAGCTAGCATCCTCTGGTGGGCAGCCCTCCCCCGAAGATACCACTCCACAGGTGGTGACTCTCCATGTGGCAGAGCCAGGGGACAGTGTGGCAGCGGAGAGCCAACTAGGGCCCCCTGACCTACAGCAGATCACCTTGGCACCTAGTGCATTTGGTGGAGCTGGCTACAGCGTCATCACAGCACCCCCTATGGAGGAGGGCACGTCAGCTCCTGGCACGCCTTACAGGTGAGGTGCCTCTACAGGCCTCTTTCAGCCTTTCATAAGTGCTAGTGCGGTGAGATTTGGGCCTAGTTAGCAAGAGGAAAGGTGCCTGGGCACAGCGAGATCTGTCTGAGGCCTGGCACTGTGACCACTTGAATATTCCAGGAACTTGACTCTTCTGATGGCATTTAATCCACTCCCATGAGATCCTTTTCCCTCCTTTTACAAATGGGAAACATACCAGGAGGCCAGGTAACTGGCCTCACCTTAAAGGTCAGATACGCACTGAGGCTTTGAAGCCTGGTCCCTCTGGTTCCCAAGCCTATATGCGCTTCACTTTCAAGGTGCTAGGTGCTTTTCTGTTCTAACATTTGGAGCATATCAGGCCTGGCACCTGTACTTGGCTTCCTACAAGGAATGAGTGTGGGACAGAAGTGTTTAGATGCTCACGGAACTCTGAAGCAATCAGAGGGAGCCCTAAATCTAAGCATGAGGGTTTGGGGTTGCAATCTGGAGCCCTGGGCAGGTGGCCTCTGAGGATCCGCCCTCTGCTCTCAGACTCCAGCACCTATTTGGCTGCCACAGGGTCAGGTTCCTGGTGGTTTGGCCGTCCCTTCCATCCCACATGGCCATATTTGGCTGGACTCCTTGGGCTTTTGCCTTGCTGCCCCTACCCATCAAGTGAATGGGCCACTGCTTTTTAAGCAGGGCAATGTAGTGGGGCACTTAGGTAAACATCTATGGAAGACACATTGGTACAGGGCAGTCCTCTGTGTCTGTGCGATGGTGGTTCCCCTCAGTGGATTCCTGTTGTTTGTATTTTGAGTTTTATGTATTTTTGAGACAGGGTCTTGCTATGTATTCTAGACTAGTCTTGAACTCACTGTATAGCCCAGGCTGGCTTTGGTTTTCTTTTTTGGCAGGGAGGGTACTGGAAATAAAACTCAGGACTTTGTGCTTGCCAGGCAGGTGCTTGCCACTGAGCTATATCCCCAGCCCACGGGCTGACTTTGAACTCATGGTGATCCTCCTGCCCTGGCCTCCAAAGGCTGGGATTAGCATAATAGCTGATAGCTGTTGCTTGGGAGCTAGGTTTCCGTAACCCTTCTTCCTCTTCTAGACCTCTGCCTTTCCTCTCCCTTTCTCTTATGCCCTCAGTGAGGAGCCCCCAGGGGAGGCAGCCCAGGCTGTGGTTGTAAGTGATACCCTCAAAGAGGCTAGCACCCACTACATCATGGCAGCCGACGGAACCCAGCTGCACCACATCGAGGTGGGTTGGGGTGGCCAACACCTCCTCCGCCTCCCCGAACACCTGCCCGATCTCCAGCATCTCATACAGCTTGGTCTCTCCACAGTTGACTTCAGATGGCTCCATCTCCTTCCCCAGTCCTGATTCCCTGACCTCTGGAGCCAAGTGGCCCCTGCTGCAGTGTGGCGGACTGCCCAGAGATGGCCCTGAGCCCCTGTCACCAGCCAAGACCCACAGGATAGGGGACCCCCCGAGCTCCTCCTCTCCACCTCCTACAGCCAGCAAAGCCATGGGCCTGGTAGTGCCACCCTCCCCGCCATCTGCAGCATCAAAGAAGTTTTCCTGTAAGATCTGTGCCGAGGCCTTCCCTGGCCGAGCAGAGATGGAAAGTCACAAACGGGCCCACGCTGGGCCTAGTGCCTTCAAGTGCCCTGACTGCCCCTTCAGCGCTTGCCAGTGGTCGGAGGTCCGGGTAGGTGCCATCCCTGCTTGCCTCTGCTGTCAGTCATCCAGCCACCCATGCACATACAAGCCTTTATTGAGCAGCCCGCTCCTCCTAGACTAGGTCTTCTGCTCCCCTCTAGGATCAGAGATGACTCAGTCCTCAGGAAGCTCAGCCTGGGCAGGCGGCCAACCAGACATAAATGTGACCAATGCCAGACAGTGTCCCTGGTTAGAAGAGTACAGCACAGAGCAGACACCCAGAAAGTCATTGGACTTGGGGGTGCTGAGGAAGACGCTTAGGGATGGGGTAGTGGGGGTTGGATCCAAAGGAGCAAAGGCACTGAGTGGTGAGGACGTGAGGCACAGGGAGGAATCTTAAGCTTTCTGGAATACTGAGGGCACAGAGGTTTGTGGCCAGCGAGCAGACAGTGTGGTGGGACGTGGGCCTCCTACTGGGTCCATCGCTGGGGCTCGTTCCATTTGCCTGACCATATCCTGTGTCCTCAGAGCTCAGGGAGAGGGGCCGTATGGGAGACTGAGACCCAGTTAGACAGGACTAAGCCCTGGGGTGTCAGAGTTTGCCTCACCCAGCACCTGGGAGTTATGTATGGATACAGAGGGTCTGTGAGCTAGGACAGGACTCTGCAGGTGACCTTGCAGCAGAAGCTGTGGCTTGGCACTCAGGCCACAGCAACAGCAGTCTCAATCTCACTTGTACTTTCTGTCCAACTCATGAGGGCACAGGGTTTTGGGTTTTTCTGGGTCTGTGTCACCTGGCGCCCTGACCAGATGGCTGTAGGAATCTAGGCCTTGCTGCCATCTGTGCTGACCCTGGTGCCAACCCTGAATGCCCCCTGCAGGCCCACATGGCGCAGCACTCTAGCCTGCGGCCTCACCAGTGCAGCCAGTGCAGTTTCGCCTCCAAGAACAAGAAGGACTTGAGGCGGCACGTGCTGACCCACACCAATGAGAAGCCTTTCTCATGCCTCCTCTGTGGCCAGCGGTAAGGACAGCTGCTGGGCAGGGGCTGCTAGGCACACTCAGTGGAGCCGTCCTGAGCCTTCTTCCTTTCTTTTCAGTTTCAACCGCAATGGGCACCTCAAGTTTCACATCCAGAGGCTACACAGTCCTGATGGGAGGAAAGCAGGGACCCCTACGGCCAGGGCCCCAGCCCAAACGCCCACTCAGACCATCATCTTGAATAGTGATGAGGAGACACTGGCCACACTACACAGTGAGTTACCACAAGGCTATAATAGGGATGGCACCAGGGCTGATCAGAGACTTGAGCTGCTGCCCCAGAAGGCACCTGTTTGCTGGGACGTTCTGGGTCTCACAGAACCCTGAGTAAGCACCGTCCCCTTTCTACCTAGCTGCCCTCCAGTCCAGTCATGGGGTCCTGGGCCCAGAGCGGCTGCAGCAGGCACTGGGCCAGGAACACATCATTGTGGCCCAGGAACAGACAGTGGCCAATCAGGTATAAAGCAGGGTTGGGGCCCTGGTAACCACTTATGGCAGGATGGGGCAGACAGAGCCAAGGCTAGAGCTGGCCTGTCTTTGGCAGGAAGAAGCCACCTATATCCAAGAAATCACCACAGCAGATGGCCAGACAGTACAGCACCTGGTGACCTCTGACAACCAGGTAAGCTGCTTTTCCTCAGCCTTGCTGTCCTAGCCCCCCTCCCCCAAGTGGAACACAGTACAGCTCCTCCCAGGGTCCATGGTCCTCTGCTCCTCAGCTGGGAACCTGCTGGGTGGGGCCCCAGCAATTTCCTCCACCCTTCTCTAGGTACAGTATATCATCTCCCAGGACGGTGTCCAGCACCTCCTGCCCCAGGAGTATGTTGTGGTCCCTGACGGCCATCACATCCAGGTAGGCCAGGCCTGGGCTGAGATGGAGGCTGGGGAGCAGGGCAGCACCACCTCCTTCTGGGATCATGGATTGGCCTCTTCTCTGCAGGTACAGGAGGGCCAGATTACACACATCCAGTATGAACAAGCAGCGCCATTCCTGCAGGAGTCCCAGGTAGGAGGGACTACACAGAGCTGGAGCCCTGAAAGGCTCCTTCAGGGCTGTTTCTCACCAGCTTCTCCCCTCTAGATCCAGTATGTGCCCGTGTCCCCAGGCCAGCAGCTTGTTACTCAGGCTCAGCTTGAGGCTGCAGCACACTCTGCTGTCACAGGTATGGGGCTGGATCTAGAGCCCAGGGGTGGGGCTCAGGCCTAGCTCTTGGGCCTCAGGCTTACTGTGCTTTCTCCTCCTGGCAGCAGTGGCTGATGCTGCTATGGCCCAAGCCCAGGGCCTGTTCGGCACAGAAGAGGCGGTGCCTGAACACATCCAACAGCTGCAGCACCAGGGCATCGAGTATGACGTCATCACCTTAACGGATGACTGAGCCCAAGGACCCAGTGTGGATCATGGCTATTGGGCCAGCTCTCCTGGGGATCAGGGAGGCTCAGCTCCCTCTCCCACTTAGGTTCTCCAGATGTTGGGCAGCCAGTCTCCTATCGCTGCAAAGGAGACAGATTTAAGCTCTTGGGTCTGGGGGACAGCCATAGGCCCCGCTAGGACATGCTGGGTACCCAGCCTGCAGGCAGGCTTCAAGAGAGATTTATTTTTGTTTGGACGCACTGGCCCCTTAGTCTCAATAAAGGGCCCAGAGTCCAGCCCTGGCCAGCTCACTTTGTCCACTTGGTAATAGCATGAACCACATGAGGACAAAGCTGAAGGGAGAAGCCTCCACATGGCCGGGCTACACAGTGCAGCTGGCCCTGCCTCTGGAACTACAGTGGCCCCATTCAGCGCAATGCCCTGGTGCAGAAGCCTCATCCTAGGACAGCTGAGATGGGGAAAGCCCTACGAGCACCTCTGGACCCTGCTTCTGCCCCAGAACTTTATGCCTAAAGGTTCTGAGAGGAGTGGTTCTAATGCTACCTCCTGAGCCCAGCTGCCTGCTCAAAGGGGGGGCTCCAGGCTTGGTAAAGAGTCTGGCTTTCAGCCTGGGCACAGGCCATAAGTACTGGTCCTCATTGCCAGAGATACCTGGGTTGGCTTGGCTATGGAAGACTGGAGTTAGATAGCACAGGCCCTGGACTCCTCCAATCTCCTGGGCACAGGCAGAGGCCACCAGGGCCCTGGTTTATGGAGTCTCTGGGATGTGGTACAGAGGCCCAGGAATCAGGATTGCTAACCCCATACCCAGTAACCCCAGGTGTGGAGTTAGTGATCCAGAGTGGCTCCAGGTCTTCAGCCTTTTCTGCCCTCACGACCCTCACACATTCTTAGGGGGTTATGTATTTCCTTTTACAAATGAAACAAGGTGGCGACAGGGTCGTTGTGGGGTTGGGAAGGCATTGGGCCTATTTACAAAGGATGTAGAATGAATCTGAGTTGGGATGTGGGGAGAGGGGCAAGGAGGGGGAGCCCTGACAGGGCAGTAATATTCCTATGTCAGTGGCAGCCCAAGTCCTGCTGCCAGCCCAGGGAGGGGCCTGGAGTCCCAGCAGTCCATACCAGCACCCCCAGGGCTCCTCCTCCCCGCAAGGTGTGTTAAGTTGGATGAGGCTCTCGGCTTGGGCCCTGTTCTCGGTTAGAGTCCCGGTCCTTGGCTTCTGAGGAGGAAGATGAAGAAGAGCTGGAGCCATGACTGCGGCCTGACTGCCGGTAAGCGGTACTTAGCTCCTGTAGCCGCTCTGGCGTCGGCCCCCACTTGGCAAAGCCAGGGTCGTTCTGTAGGAAGAGCACGGCGGTGTTGTGGACAGCCTTGTAGTGCATTTCCTCCCTGCAGACAAAGGCGACTGCTCAGGTTGGGGCTGGGCCTGGGCTGGACCTCATCAGCCTGGCCTGCCCAACCCAGCCCTCCTACCCTGCCCTCCCCAAGCACCCACTTTTTGCAGACATGCTGGGAGCCGCTTCGGTACTCATGCTCAAAGGCAGGCAGGACCAGCTGGTGGCGTTTGAAGCGGCTCTGCTCCATGCGGGTGAGCGCTGGTGTGGGGGGCTCCCGCCACTCAGGGATGAACACAATGAAGGACAGGGGCTCCAGTGAGCTCTCTAGCAGTTTCTGTAGAAGGAAGCACAGGTGGACATCTGGGGCTGCCATCCAGGTAGCTGTAGTTCTCCCTGCTGCCTCCCCCACCAAAGTGAGAAACCTACACCCACCTCAAAGTGAGAGACCATAGCATCCATGAGCTCCTCGCAGAATGGAGGGTTGGCCTCAAAGGAGCCACTCAGTGGGGCAAAGTCCAGGCAGGGTCTGAGGGCAGAGGCAAGCATTCTAAATCCCTTCGGGACCTGTCCCTCAATCAGAGATGGATGCCACCCCACCTTTACGCAGCTATGCTGAAAAGATGGCCATGGTTAGGCCAGAGGCTAACATTTACGCTTACTTTGTCCTGGGACAAGTGAAGGAATGATCACATACATACACTGAATGGATGAGGACAGAGGCTCAGGCTTGGATGCCACTGTCCACTGAGCTGAAGGACCTGGAGTTCAGATTCAGTTCTGAGTTTGCAGCTAGCACAGCACAAGCTACACCCAAGACTGCCCAGCTGCAGAGTTCTGAGCCTCCTGATAGTCTGACCACCCCTTCTAGAGACAGCTTCTCCTTTTATTTGTGTTCACTGCCGCCCACTACCTGAATGAGAGGTCTCTGAGCCTGTGTTACATTCCCATTCCCCACTGCCTGCTGCCAGGTGGCCCTATTCCAAACCTGAGCTAATTTACTGAGAATCCCATGGGCTAGGTTAGAGGTATCACTTGCCCACCGGGCCAAAAAAAGGCACCCAGAGGTTAGGTGACATGCCCAAGGTCACTTGGCTAACAAGTAGTGGAAACAACAACTCCAAGACTACCTAACTCTAAAGACATAACACAAGGAGCAGGCTGATACAACCTGTGCTGTGGAGACAACCTCCCATACGTGGGCAAGGGGGTCTACCAGGCCCTGGCTCTCACCCGCGGGAGCCAAAGTAGCCATCTGTGTCAGGGAAGGCAGAACAGTACTGGCGGAAGTAGCAGTTGAGAGGTGAGGCGAAGCATTCAAAGCTGACGCCAAAGAGTCGATGGAGGGCCTCAAAGACATGCACAGGCAGCGATCCCTGAAGGCCAGTCCCTTCATAGAGGCCCACGCCAAACATCATCTGTAGAATAGCCACAGTCAGCATCAGGCTGAATGCCCTACCCCCCAGGGAAGCCCTTAACCTGCTGCCTAGGTCTGTACCTGGTAGCGTCGGAGAAGGCACCAGACCCGGGGCAGAAACCTCTCAAACGGTGAGTCATCGATGCAGCTGTATCGATAAAGGAGCCACTGTAGGGCAGAAAGACCTGGCTTTTAGGAGTGGTCCCACAGCCTCTCCACTGGCCACATGCTGCTGGACTCGAGGCAAGAAAGACCCCAGGCCCCAGTCTGCGCTCGTCTGGCTCTCATCCCCACAGCTCTTACCAGCTTGCTGAAGTAGCTGCGGCTGACCTTGACCATTTCTCCCTTGTACCGGATGCAGACCATGTTGTTCTCCACGTGCATCTCCACACTGGGCATGGGGGGTGCGGGCACAGCCAGCCGCAGCGGGTAGCAGTACACCAGACGGGGGTCCAGCTCAGAGGCTTCCACCTCCTCTGTGGACAGGGTAAGCAGTGAGGGGCCAGTGGCCCACACAGCCCCAGCACCAACTAGGCACTAGGCACCTCATACAGAGTAAGTCTCTGTCTCATCATTAAACTGCTGCAAGCCAATTTTTTTTTTTTTTTTTGCACCGAATGCCTTCAAGGCATGACTGGCTGTCTTGTGTTGTGGGGATTGAACCACAGCAACCTGAGCCTGACTGCTTTGTTGAAGCAGGCACTTAAAGAACTGAGCTAAGGGGCAGGCCCCCCCGCAAGCCAATTCTTTACAGAGATAAGAAAGAGCCATTAAAAACTAAAGGAAACCACCAGGCAACTGTTAGGGCAGGAATGACAGCCTGTGTCCATATGCCCGACACTGAGGCCTGGTGGACAAGCAGGCTGAGGCCTATGGGTATTGCTGCTGAGCAGAAGTATCAGAGCTGCACTACTCGTGATGAGAGCTGCAATATGCAGACCTTCAGGGGCCAAGCTGTTATTTATGTAGTAAGTACTTATGAGTAGCCACATAATACTCATGTTATGCCTCATTCTGGAAAAAGTGAGAGAATGGATGGAAGTCCATGTTCATCTACTGATTACTGGCCTGACTTTCCCAGAAGGGTGCTGACTTGCCCTAGCCAAAGGGGAGCAAGTTTACCCAAACAGCACTGGGACAAACTGGTTCCCTGGCTTGAGGCTCATGATCATTTGTTCCTTCAATCATGGCCCAGGGTAGAGTTGCTAGCTCCCCACCACCTTGTCCCTACCTGGAATGTTGTTTTCCTTGAGGATGGCCAAGTGCTTCTCTCGGATGCGTTTGACGTACTCCAGGGAGATGTGGTAGATCTTACTGCAGATGCCTTCCACAGAATCCTTGGCTGCAGCTGAGACGTGGGGCCCACACTGCCTCCGCAGGTGCTCCAGGCGGTCCTGGAGAAAATGCCCGTTTAGAATGCTTGAGGCCAAAGGCCTCAGCATGACTGACGTGTAACTGCAGGGCTGTACAACTTCAGCAGTCTTCATTTTGAAACTGGTTGTGCTACTTACTACCTATGTCCCTTGGAGTAATCCGTGGGCTTCTCTGAACCTCATTCCTCAACTATCGAGGGAACACAAAATACCTAAGAAGACAGTTTATTAAATGCAGGCATTCTTTTTCGGGGTTTACCAAGTCCCTGGCATACAAGTGTGTTAAGTAAATGCCAGAAGCTTTTGTTGGGCTTACACTGTAATAGACCCCCTGATAATTACTGGAAAAACAGACAAACTAGGCATGATACCATTTTAAAGCATTTGCAGCCTATGCTATAAAGGTGATTACAAAACAGAGCTCACTCCACTGGTGCAGAAGCTAAGCTCTTAGTTACTTGCAAGGATGCCTGCAGGCATTTCTAATTTTGCTGAATCACATTTGTGAAACTAAAGAATAAAAGTGAGTCACTCTGGCTAGTGAGTACACCTATCTGTGTCATTCTACGTGTCAAGTACTATTATGAAGTACAAAACCTGTCTCTTGCGAAAAATGGTCCTGAAAAGAAAGCCCATTGCTAGTGCTGTTGGAGAGGCTTAAAGTTCTGACCAGCAAACAGAATTGTTCTGGACATACTTAAAAACAAAAGGAGATATAACTCAGTGACACAAGTGCCTGCCTGGCAAGTACAAGGTCCTGAGTTTGATTCCCAGTACCCCCCAAATAAAAACAATAGCCAAGAAATCTCTTTTTTTTTCCTGGTGAGACAGGATCTCACTATATAGTTCAGGGTAGCCTTAAGCTCACTATGTAGCCCAGGCTGGTGGTGCTCCTACCTCAGCCTCTCGATTGCTGGGATCACAGGTTCATGCCACCACACCCTGGCTGATGGCAGCTTTTTTTTTTTTGGCGGAACCCTGGACTGAACTCAGGCCCTTGCGCTTGCCAGGCAAGCTCTTATTCTACTGAGCTATCTTCCCGGCCCCTTGATGGTAGCTTTTAACTATAACGCGAATACACACACAAAAGCAGTGTGTCAAATCTGGTGCCAAAAATCTCCGAAGAGATGCTGAAGACTCGTTAAGTTAAAAAGATAGCTATTTGTGTGTGCCTGCACCTAAGATTTCATTAAGAACATTAATGAAAATGTTCTCTGAGAGAAAACCCTAGACAAAAATCTTCAGACATGAGTCCAGAGACTGATCAGTGTCAGAGTCTGCTATGGGAATTTGGCCAGGAAGAGCAGGATTCCTGGGCAAAGTGGCCACAGGGCCTTCCAGCTGGCCTCACCCCAGAGCCCACTCACCATATAGTCCTCCTTGGAGGCTGAGTGGTCCTTCCGCAGCCAGCTGAAGGTATCTTCCACGTTCCACTTGACCACCTTCCTGCTATCAGGGGAAGCACTCCTGCCAGTCAAGGGGCAAGGAAAACGGCTCAGTTGTACATAGGACCCAGTTGTTGAGGTGTCTGCTCCACCCTCTTTCCATTCCACTTCACTAGTATCTTGGGCATCAGCTCCTCGGCCTACATTCTAGCCTATTCTGTATCTTGACAGCAAGGTCAGTCCTGAGTCGCTAAGAGGAGTAGCTGGCCTGTCACCTCGCCACACAGATCTGTCTTACATGGGCACAGAGAGTCGAACCTGGACTCGATGAGCCGTCTGGCAGCCTCTGCATATTTAAAAAGCAGGCGCTTGGCTTCTTCTCGGAACTTGATTCGGGATAACCTATGTGAGAGAGTAGAGAGAGTTGGGCTCTTCTATACTTAACTGGGCAGAGAAATCACACCACCCAGCCCTAAGGCTGTACCTGATGGGAATGTCATTCATGATTTCACGAAACATGGAAGGTGACACAACTGGTTCACAGTTGCTAGGTAATAAGGGATCAGACCCTTTGTCTACCACCTTGCGCTCTAGCATCCAGCGATTGAAAGACTCCCGCGGAGGCTCGATGCCTGCAAGACCAGAGAAATGCTGAGGGTCTAGATTTAGTCAACATGTTCCACCCTGGGCTTGGCACATGGAAAGCACCATGCTGGCAGTAAATAAACTATGGCTCCCACTACTTCAGAAGCTTTTTTTTATGTGTAAACCTGGGGATTAAAGCTAGACCCTTTACACTGAACTACACCCCCAACCTCTATATTTTATTTTGAGGCAATTTTAGTTAACTTGTCCAGGCTGGGTTCACACTTGGAATCTTCCTACCTCAGTTTCCCTGAGGGCTGCGATTATAGGGATGTGCATCAATAAGCCCAGCTTCAGAAGCTTGTTTTCTAGGCTTTATTTCCCAAAGTTTATTCTGAGACTAGTCTCACAAGACTATTAATAAGTATTACACAGGGTGAAAAAGAGGAGAGCTGTGTATTTCAGCAAGATCAAATGGCTTCATATACTAATTATAAACATTAAAGGCTGTAGCTTATTGAGTACCTTCAGTGAGGCCATTTCACTTACTCCTTGTAGTAACCTTGTGAGATAGAAATACTTGTTTTTATGCTCTTCTACACATATGTAAAAAGTACTGAGAGTGCATGGCAGAGTAAGCTGCAGCCGTTGTTTATGCACTGTTACCCAAAGCACAGAGGGGACAGTGAGCCCAGGACCAGAGTCAGTGGTTAATGGAGCCCGGCCTCCAGCAGGTCTCTTTCACTCGACAGCACATGGTCTGCACCACGGAACTCCCCTGAGCACCCCAGCACCAGCTCTTGCTAACAATGGCTGGAAACAAGGGGGCTGAGGACCACAAGGCAGCTACCTTCTCGCTGCTGGCAGAGCTCCCGGTAGTGCTGCCGAAGCTTCAGGATGAGCTGGGAGCGCAGCAGCTCCACTTCTGGATGGGGGGGCAGTACCTCTGAAGGGCCCCGGTATTTGATGACAGCATTGGTCTGGATGTCCAGGTCCCAGTACACCCTTAGAGCAGAGACAGGATCAGTGAACGTGCCTGCCACAACCCACTTCCAGGCAGGCTGGCACCAGCAGTGGGCCCCTCCAAGTCAGGCAGCAGGGACTCACTCAGTTGGTCGGCAGAAAGCTGACTGTTTATCTTCAGGCACCCAAGTCTTCATGGTTGGTGTTCCTGGGACACTGGGGGAACCAGGCACTGATTGGCCTGTGGGTGTCACAGGGATCTCAATCTAGAGCAAAAGAGTCACAAAAGCAGCGGTTAAGTTTGGCAACCGGCTTCAATGCTGGACTCCTGCTGAATGCATCCAGGCCTCCCTCCTGACCAGCTGCTGCTGCCCATCCCTTGCAGGGAGCTTGTTGGCTGGCTGCCTACCTGAGCTGGCCGCTTACCAGCCAGGTCCTGACCACCCTGGACACTCACCTTAGGCTTCTTCACACCATTGCCGCTTGGCTGCTCTTCCGAGAGCTGCCTCTTTCTGGCCTTGTTCTCAGCCGGGGGGGTTTCCACCAAGCTTGAGTCTTGGGGCAGTGGGGTTGCATTCAACCCCAAAGGGTCCGACTGGTGGAGGGAGACCAGCAGAGTTGCAACCAGGACCATCGGCTTAGGAGCCCCAGTGCTTTGGAATACTTTGCCCTCCCACTCCTGCTCCTACTCCTCAGAGAAGAGCACAGAGGGCTGGGACACAGACACTGGGCTTTGCTCCTGCCTACCACTTGCAATGGTGTGGCCTTGAGTGAGCTACTTCCCTTCTTAATTCCTTCACCTTTAAAATGGCCAGGGTAGCTGGAAGTGGTGGTGAATGTCTATAGTCCCAACACTTGAGAGGCTAAGTTAGGATTGCTGAGAGTTCAAGGTTAGCCTGAACTACACAGTGAGTTCGAGGTCAGTCTGAGCTACATAGCAAGCAAGACCCTACCTCAAAAAAGTGAAGTTTTAAATTTTTTTAAAAATAAAATGGCCGGGGCCGGGGAGATGGCTCAGTGGAATAAGTGCTTCCCTGGAAAGCACAAGGGCCTGAGTTCAATCCCCGGTTCTGTCAAAAAAATAAAATAAAATAAATAAATAAATAAATAAAATAAAATGGCCATCCTATGTCCTACCTCCCACTGAGATTATATGACTCCAGGCCTGAGCTTAATCCCAGATATTGTAAGCAAACAAATGAGCAATAAAGAGAAAACTCAAGAAGTGCTTATCTTCAAAAGAGTAAGACCACGTGGATGGAACCTCAAGAGTCCGTGAGGTAGTGGACAGTGTCCCTGACATCACATCCAGGTGTGAATTCTGCTCTACCTACTGACAGCCAGAAAGCCTGTGGCTGGTCATTTCCCCTCTTCAGCTGCAAAATGGGGAGCCCTCTAGCTTGGTTATGTCCAATAAAGGCTGCCTCAGCTGAGATGGACTCAAAAGTTCACATCCCACCAGAGAGCTAGTCTGTACTGTCTCGTCATACTAACACCCTAGTTCCTAGACCACTCCCCTGAGCTAACATCCATTTGAACAATGGTTTTCAGAAAAGTTCCTCCTGTCCTCTTTCACCTTCCCTAGACCAGGTCAGGACTGCTAATGCCCTCTAACACTATTCTTTACACAAGTGCCACAACGGCAACCCTTACATTCCTCCCCTCTAGTAGACTTAAGCATACCAAGAACATAGTGTCTCACTGGCCCAGGGCCCCATATTTAGAATGAGTTCACTATGCTACACTACTATAATCAGCAGTTTATTGGTCAGCTTTCTGTTGAGCATAAGTTACATGAGGGCAGGGCCTGGCTATTGCTCTTGGTGCTGTAACTGCTAGTACAGCACAGGGCTGCACAGAGTATGTCTGGAGAAGGCTCACAGGCCGGAGGCTGTTCTGAGCCCCCTGCCCTAGGCTGGCACTCACAATCACATCGTGCTGGCCCAACACAGGCATCTCCCACAGGGACTGGTTGGTGAATCGGTTGAAGTAGTAGGGACGATTCTCCCTCCGGCTCCAGCACTTCTCCCAGCCCGCATGCACAAGCTCCTCTGCAAACAAACATGGAGCCCAGGCAAGGTTATAAGAGCTCTCAGCGTACCCTGCCTGACCCACTACCCACTACAGCTCCCACCAGTACCTGGGAGGTCCTGCACCAGGCGGACTGGCTTTGGAGAACAGGGCTGGCTCTGATTGGAGGTGCCTGGAGAATGACTCAGCAAGGATGCCTCCTCCCGGGGACTGCCGTGATTCTCATTGGCCATCTCAGCACCCTCAAGGGACCTGCCACAGAAAATGGAAGACTGTCAGCTCCACCTCAGCCACCAATTAAAACTAAGGACCCTGGGGATCATCCCAGGTGAGAAATCCAAATCCAACCTCTCCTGAGGGCCAGCACTTTGACACAGGAGGGAGCCCTAGGATCTAGGATGCAATTCCCCAACTGTAAGATGGGCTCCTTCCTACTGATCCTCCAGCCTAAAATACCTTTCCCCAGTTCTCTGCCTGGCTTGCCCATGGGCTCACATCCCCCAGGTAGCCCTCTGACTGCTTCCTCCCCTTAGCTCCCTGCCGCTTGCCAGGGCCCTCCTCAGTGCCATGTCCACCTCCACTGGAGCGCTCAGATGTTTTCGTCTATCAACTGGGTTTGCCTCACTACTCTGCCAGCAATTCCAGGATAGGAACTGGTTCCACTGCATCTCTCCAGAGCTCAGCATGCTAACTGGACCCAACATGAGCTCCATTAATTCTACCAACACTTACACGCATTCAAGGTGGCAAACACAGAACAGAGTGCCCTTGAAAAGCCATTCCGCTGCAAGTAGTAGTAACTTTTGCTCTTGGGGGAAGTAGGATTTTATTGCTTCCATCCAGTAAGAACCAAATGAAGCAAAGCACAGCTGGGCAAAGGGCATGGCATCTACCCAGTTTCCCACTTTACACTATAGGCGGGAAACTATCTTGTTAAAAGATCCAGAGAAAGAGATGACCATCTAATTCAGTCCTTCAGAATCCCCATGTGAAGCTATCAAAAAGGAGGCCAGCTCCTTTAAGGTTGTGTTCCTACTACCCTCACCTAAAGCACACCCAGCAAAAACCTCAATGGCCAAAATGACTCCCACCCAGGGCTGATATACTCCCGGGGTGTCAAGTGAGATCAGGTTAGTGATGCTCTAAAATTGTTTTCAATATGCCACAACACCCACAAGAAATCAAACTTTTACCTACAATAAGAACACAAAAGCATACAAAGACAGACCATTAAAAAAAAAAAAAAAGAACATGAAGGCAAATTTAAACATCTTTGCATGCTGAAATTTTACCAACCCATTGTGACCACACTGATTAGCTCACGCTGATCAGGAGCTCTGATTAGCTGTTAACAACATCATAGGAATCGTTGGGACATTGATTTTATTGCACACTCAGTCATAGATGTCTTTGTTCATTTGGAAAGGGAAAAATGAAAGGTTACTTCATTGGTACAGTTTAGCAGATAAAAAATGCAGGGGCAACAGGACATGTGTACATCAAAGAGGGCCTCGATAACAATGAGATCTGGAACTATTCCTTGCAGGCCTAGCCAGTAGGTTTTAAGATTGAATGAAGCGTCCCTTTCTCTCACCCTCTGGGGTCTGCAAGGTTAGCATGAGAGGGTTTTCTTCTCCAGCAGGACTGACTCCCACGTCTCAGGGTCCAACAGAGGCAAGGGGGAGGCCCGCAGAAAGGCCCAGCACAAGTGGGCGGGCTGGTCAGCAGTGGAGTGGACAGGGGCCCAGAGGACTTCTTGGATCGGCAGCTGGAGGGCAAAGAGAAGAACAGTCACTGATCGTGTGCATGCTGCACAGCCAGAGGGGTGAGGACATAGTCTGGGGGGAGCATCCAGGGCAGGCGTGGATGGGCATTTCTGGAGATTTGGGGGATGAATAAAGCACCGCAAGCCTGCTAAACAACAGGCTCACCTCCACAGGCTTTCCTGCACAGTAGCATACAGCTCTGCATCCTGCTGGCCAAGGGCTTTATTTCATGCTTTGATGTCACCATCTTGATTTGTTTGTTTTTGTTTTTTATCTTTGGTAATGCTAGGGATCAAAGCCAGGGCCTTGAGCATGCTAGGCTGCACCACTGAGCTGCACACCCAGCCTAGAATATTCACATATTCATTTATTTATTTGAGACAGGGTATTGCTAAGTTGTACAGGCTAGTCTTCAATTCCTGGAATCAAACCATCTTCTTGCCTCAGCTTCTTGAATAGCCAAGAGTATAGGTTCATGCCCTCACACTCAGCTTTCAGTATTTTTTTTTTTTTTTTTTTTTTTTTTGCGAGTAGGAAAATTCACTGGGGAATAGGAATCGTGAATAGTTCCTGAGAGACAGGAGGGGGGTCCCAGATGGGTTGCCTGCTTTTAGTAATTTTTATTTTATTTTTTGGTACCAGGATTCAAACGCAAGACCTTGTAACTGCCAGGCAGGCCCTTATTCTGCTGACCCTATCTCTCCTGCCCACAGTCTTTTTTTTTTTTTTTTTTTGTGGCTGGCTCAGCCCCCTAGGGCGGAGCTGTCCCTGTGCCCTTGCCTAAGATCACCTTAGCAGGTGCTTTAGACCACTGAGCTATCTTGCCAGCCCCCCATAGTAATTTTTATTTTTATTTTTTTAAATTTTTTTATTTATTTATGTGGGGGGGCAGCTCAGCCCACCAGGGGGCGGGGCTGGCTGGCATGTGGCGCTGGGGGATTGAACCGCGGTCCCTGCGCTAAGCTTGTTCTAAGTAGGTGCTTTAGACCACTGAGCCATCTCACCAGCCCCCCCATAGTAATTTTTAAACAAAGGGTCTATGTTTTCCTTTTGTACATCGCGCCCCACAAATTATGTAGCCATCCCTAACCAACAAAAGTACCCTTAGACCAGAGAAAAGTAAACAAATACATATGGTAAATATGACAGGCACCACCCCAAACCACCCACACCGAGACACTTCTTTTTCTTGAGAAAAATAACATGCAAACACATTACGTCTTGTTCACTTTTATTGAAAATTATTATTCCTAAGAAATGGGCTGTGATATTGATGCAAAAGCTAGATGCACTTTGTAGAAGTCACAAGTAGTGTGGTTTAGTGTGAGGGCAAATGGGGACACTGCAGTATTGTATTTCCAAAACAGGCTGTGCATCAGAATCATCAAGGGGCTCGTTAAAAACAAAATGAAATAAGGCAAAAAACAGGATTCATGTACTCCATGTCTAGAAGCCAGAGATGGGAAGGGAAGGTACAAAAGAATTTGTGATTTTTAAACACATTCAAAAGTAGGCTTAGGAGACGACTTTTTTTCCACTTTGCACCGGTTGAAAATTTTACCAATTTAAATTCCTTTTTTTTTTTTTTTTTTAATAATTGGGGCACCATTTTATTTATTTTCTTGGCGGAACCGGGGGTTGAACTCAGACCCTTGCCCTTGCCAGGCTGGCACTTATTCTACTGAGCTATCTCCCCGGCCCCAAATTTAAATTCCTTATGGGCAGGTGGGTATGGCACAGCTCAGAGGTAGAAAGCCTACCTAGCATTTGTTAGGCCCGGCGTTCAAGTCCCAGCACCACAAATAAAATAAATTCTATAACAATAAATTGGCTGTGAGACTTGGGTGCAATAGGCTTGTGCCTGAAGAGCCAGCTCTGGGGTTAGAAAAAAAATCCACGTTCCAGGCCCTGCGCTGTCTCCAAGCTTATATATACGTAGAATCTAGCATATTGTACACTCTCAGCACGAGATGGCCGTTCTTACGTTATTTTTATTTAGCCTGTGGCTTCCAGAGCCCACGTAACCTGCAGCTGAAGAAGTATCTGTACCCGCACAACCAGAGGAACCCACCAGAAATAAGAATCCGATTCCAGGATTGGAGGAAAGTGGGGCGGGAGCAGTTCAGCAGTGCACCAATCAGAATTCTCGGGGCCAGTAGGGCGGAGTCACGGGGCTCGCGACCAGCGCAGGCACGAGAGCGCGCGAAGGTGCATTCCCAGTGCGCGTGCACCTGCCCCTCACCCCAACCCCAGAGGGGGCGGGCGGTTTGGCGCGCGCGCGCCGGCCCATCTCCCGGGCTCCGCCCCCCGCCCTGCCGCGCGCTCCCGCCCCCGGGCTGAGGCGACTCAGAGTCGGAGCCCGACACAAAGGCGGTGGCGGCGGCAGCAGCGGAGGGACCCTGGAGGCCGCTCCGCCCGCGCTCTCCAGGCCCATCTCCTTCACCCCGGCCACCGGCCCGGCTGCCCACCCGCGGGCCTAAGATGGCGGCGGCGAAAGAGACCGGGCCAGCGGCAGCCTTGAGTGGAAAGCGCCGGAGGGGCCACCGCCACCCGGCTTCAGACTCCCGGACACTGGCACGGCTCGCGGCGAGACCACGGCTTCCTGGGGCTCTTACCTGCCCAGAGCGGACTCGAGGGGATGCGGCTACACGTTCTGCTCGACCGCCCGTTTTGCCGCCTCCGCCTCGCCCTCCCCAGTGCCGCTGCCGCCATCTTGTGTCCCGGGCCGGGACTCCGCGCTGCGCATGCGCCGGTACCGCCTCTGAGGGACCTCGCCACGGCCGCGCCGCCATCTTGAGTGTGGCGGACTGCCCCGCTTCTTCAAACCGTGGCTTTAGCCCCCTCCCCTTTCTCCCGTCCTTCCCCGCTGTCCCGTGCAGTCTAGAAGAAAGGAAAACAGATCTGCTGTCCCTGAGGCGTGGAATAAGGGCAGAATAATTAACAAACAGCCCCGGTGTCAGTTTCTCCCTTGAGCACACCCGGGGGGCCAGAGGACCTGTTTGAGCGAACTGGGGAGCAAGGCTGCTTCGGGCTCTCCGGGGGATGGCGGATAGTCGCCGACCTGGGGGCGGGGCCTCGGTGACGTCGGCGCGGGACGCAGTGGGGACCTGGGTCCTAGTCTCCGCCGGGCTCTGCTGCTTCAGGCCGGTCTCTGACCCTCTCTGGGCGGGACGCGGGAACGAAGTCTTCTAACAGCTGCGGCCTCGGGTCAGGCTACGTGCGAGTCGGACGTTACCCCATTCCGGGCGGCGGTAGTCCTAAGTGCTCCTGAGTAGGAGAAAAGACACGGCCGGGTTTGGGTGTATAATAAAGATGGCTTTGGACGTGGCTGGAAGGCTCTAAACGAAATGGAAGGGCCTTTACAGCCCCAGCCTATCTGCCATTAGCTCAGAGTCCTCGTTGCTCAGTGTAGAGCGTTTGCCCAGCGTCGGCAAGGCCTGCAGAAGCAGCATCTGCGGGGTCTCCGGAGCGCCCAGGCGCCGCTTCCAAGTTTGGCATGGGAAGGGAGACAGGTGCTCGGTCCAGTCCCAATTTGGGCGACCACGTGCCGCTCAATAGTGACTCCTCCCACCTCCGGCCTCCGAGCCCGCAGCCCTGGGTCTCTTGAGGGGAACAGGTTTGCCACCTGCGGCCCTCGCTTGGAGACCCAGAGGACACAGGGGTTTGACGTCCTCTGCCTGCAGCTTGCATGGGTGGAAGCGAGGAAAACAGATGAGATATAAGTCTCGGCTCTCAGACCCCTGGCCCACCCTAGCCTGCGATCTTGAAGGAGTAAAGCCGTCTACCTTCTAGAGGGTCCTCGAGGGCTATGCATGAATTTGGCACAGACCGGGAGCACTTCGTGCTTAATAAAGGTTAGCTACAGTCAGCCCACAGGCACGTGCTGATTGCTGCAAGTGATGTGGGCTCGCACTGTGAAGTGAGCTCGCTCAATTTAGGGCCAGGAAGGTGCAGCGGTGATTCCTGCCCTCCAGAGCTTCCTGCACGAAACCACCATGGGCCTAGGCCTGAGGAACGCAGGAAAGTCTTGCTTTATGCCTGTTGTGTTGTAATTAGTGTAATATTGTTCTGATGTAATATTGCCTCTTCTCCAAAGTGCCTGGAGGGGCCGGCGAGATAGCTCAGCAGACTAATGCGGTTTAGGCAGATGCAGTGCAGTTAGACCCCCAGCGCCAAATGGGCTGAGTCAGCCAGAGGCGTGTAGTCGCAGCGCTGGGGAGGCTGAAAGCAGAAGGATCACCGCGAGTCCAAGCTGCGTAGAGAGACCTTGTAACAACCAAATACATAAAAAAAAAAAAAAAAGCCTTGATTTGGGCATTAAATTATCCGTTCTTTTGTTTTCAAAGTATTTTCTCATTCATTGTTAAATGATAACCGAGACAGCAAATGTCCCAAAGTGTCTATTCTTTTGTATGAGGGAATCTGGTGAGCAGAAATTACTACCTCAGATCTACATGTGAAAAAAAAAAAAAAAAAACCAACAACCGAGGGAGGTGCAAATTCCCTATGATGCATGTAGTCATTATTATGCATATCTAAAATCTACCAAATGAAATTTTTAAAGAACTGCCATATACTGTTAGGAAGTTTGCCAAATCTGTCTTTGTCTGCTACATTGGTGCCTACCACATTAGGGTTACTGAACTCCCAAGGACATAGAAATAAAAGTGAAGCACGGTGTTTATTAATTAGAAAAATAAATACCCTGCAGAAGTGCAATAAACTTGACATTCTAAAATTAGTGCACACCTAGAATGAGTATGTGTGGGTGGGTTAAATTGAGCTCTGTGGCAGCAAATCTTGCATTAGCCACGTTGAACTCCTGGTAACAGTATGTACTTACCCTGTACATAATGGCAGCTACTGGTAATTTTTTTTCATTTTCAAAAGATGCTTTGAGAATTTAGGTGGGTTTGTTTTTTTTTTTTTTTTTTGCAGAACTAGAGATTGAACTCAGGCCCTTGTGCTTGCCAGGGAAGCGCTTTTTCCACTGAGCCATCTCCCCAACCCCCAGAATTTAGGTTTTTAAACAATTTATGTTGACTTGTACATGCTCTTACATTTATCTCCCATCCAAGTACTAACCAAGCTCCACTCTGCTTAGCTTCCGAGATCAGATGAGATTGGGCGCGTTCAGGATGGTATGGCCATAGACTGCTCTTACATTTGTGTAAAATATTTATACATAGCCTTTACAATTTGTACATATAGGGCCGGGGAAATAGCTCAGTGGCAGAAGTGCCTACCTGGCAAGCAAAAGGTCCCAAGTTCAATCCCTAATACCAAAAAAGAAAATAAAATTGTACACGTATTAGTATTAAATGGCTGTATCATAAGCACTGCTTTTGAGATTTTATAAAATAAAACTTACGTGGGGAAAACCACTTATAAAAATTAA